CTAAATACCCCTAAACCTAGAATATCATCCTAGCATTGTAAGCAAGCCCCAGAGAGTCCGAAGATCCCGAGAAAATAATATTTTCAAGTTGAAACTCTACCCGCACAAAACCCGATTTTCAACTAAAATCCCCAGTTTCGTCAAAGAAAGTCAATTTTAGAGACGAAGTGCTGCCCAAATCAGCATTTTATCATTCAGTTATTTCACGGTGAGTTCAATATAGGGACAATTGTATGTTAGTGTTATATGTGCAATGTGCTTTCCCGTGTTATTATGATAATGGAGCTATACCTTTGACCATGAAGTGAATGACTAAGCATCACTTTAGTACTGGTATGTAGCCTTTGACCATGAAGTGATGACTAAGCATCACTTTGGCATTGCCAAAAGGCTAGGTAGGGCTTAAAGCCTGTAAATGTTAGAAATATGATAATTCTAAAATTTTTTATTTTCTATGCCACATGGGCTGAAGTCTTATTGATGTATATCATGTTGAAATTGTTGTATTTCATTGATTGTAAATCATTGAACCAAATTATTCGTTGATATGGAAAGCCTATTATATGATACTCATCTGCCTTTGTTGTTCTTTGTCCCCCTTTGCTTCTGTCATATTGATATGTATATGACATAGCGTTATATTGTAATTAATATTGAACTCACTAAGTGTCACCCGTTTATCCCTCTTGATGTTTAAACTATTGCAGGTGATAAGCATCCTGTATAGTTATGTACTGGTAAAAGATGTAGATTAGTTAATATTATCACTTTTGTAATTAGGGTATAAAGTCCTGGGAAGTTATGTAATATATAAAACTCCGTAAAAATCTTAATAGTTGCTTTGTATCTAGTCTTTTGTAAAATATATTATGAATATGCATTTAAAATGCTTGGAGTAATCATGTAGTAAAGTTTAGAGAAGTAGTGGTTCTTTTAGTCTACCTTACAGTTTAGTGATGGACGCAGGGCTAGGATGGGAGTGATTAATATTTATCTAAAATTAAAGGATAAGTAAAAGCGGTAGACCTTAATTATACTCTAGTGACGAACATTTGATGTAGATGATGTGTGTGATGTATGTGATGCATGTGATGTACGTGATGATATGCAATGTGTGTTTTCCTAACATTGTACTTATGGTTGACTCATTTAGCATTTGCTGACACTTGTTTCTTTGCTTTTTGTTGCCTTGCATTGGTACAAGTAGCATAGTTTGTCAGCTTAGTGAGGATAGGGCTTTTGGGTAGTTACAATCTAGTGTATGTCTTAGTATTGATACCATTTGGACATGTTGTTGAGTTTTCTTAACACTTGTTTTTTAGAACTTGTTTTGGTTTGGTTTATGAACTTTATTTTGATGAATGATGTTTTGTTAATAAAAGTAACATTGGTGATGTTTTCATAAAATTCAAAATAAGACTTCTGCTAATGTATTCTGTTAAGTAAGTGTTTTAAAAAAATAATAAAAAAATTTGGGTGAAAAATCACGATGTTACAACAGCGGACTTATCTGAGTTTCCTTCACTATACTCGGGGTTTGAGGGCACCAATTTCGCCCTACCGAATTATGTTTAGAGGTTGATAGTTTTTTTGTGATAATTATATGTTATGCTTGTATGTGCTTGTTGTCTCTGTGACTCTTATTGTTATGATTATATGCTAGTTGTAGGGGTGAAATAGACTCGATACCGGTTGAAAGATACTGAAGGGGGTGAAAAAGACCTAGTACTAGTTGAAAGATACCGAAGTGGATGAAATAGACCCAATACCAGTTGAAAGATACCAAGGGGGTGAAGTAGGCCGATTGTGTTTTTGACTGTTATGCATATATGGTGTGGGGTATTTTGGGGAAACTCACTAAGATTTGTGGTTACAATTTAGGTTTATGGTTTCAGGTACTTCTGGTTCAAAAGAGAAGGGCCCGTCGTGATCACAATGCAGTCACCCATGTTTCCGCAACTTTATGATTTTGGGATTGTACTCTGATAACTCTTTTTACTTTGATATACTCTTGAATGATTAAAAAAGGATAAACGGTGTTTATGGTTGAATTAAAAATGAAAATTTTACCTTATAATTTTTAGGACTCTACACAAAGCATGGTTTCTTTTCTTTTAAATGATTATAACACCATGCTCTTCTTTTGAATAAACTAGTCAAAAGACCATCCCATCTTTTGTCTCTTGATTTCAAAATAAGAAGGCAAAAGAAGACAAAAGCGTTTATATTTTATAAACCAAGTTTATAAAATATAAACTTTAATTTTTTGAGAAAAGACAAAAGAATTTGTCTAGTCCAAAATGTTGTGTATTGCTTATTAATTCATACCATATGAATTATGTAATGTTACTTGTTAATTGAAACTATTATTTACTAGAAATAAATAATTCCCAATTAATTATGAGAGTTTTATTGAATATTTATTAAAATCAATTTCTAATAAATAATCAATTATATCAAGTTATTGTTAGTGTGACCCATTAGTATCATATGTTAATTAGCAACATCACTTTAATATGATTCTTTAGCATAGTAGATATTTCAGAGGGCAAGATACTTCTGAATCTAAGATGTCTTGAGCTTCCAAGTTGATTCCATATCCTTCATCTTCCTTCAAGATCACCAAAAGCACACTTTCAAGCTCAAAATGCTCACATAATGGTTCAGGGTTAGCAAGTGACAATTTGGGAGATGGAGGTTGATGAGGGAAGAGGTCTTGAAGAGATAATGTTGTTTAAATAGGGACCAAACTCTAAAAATTAGTTTTGACCCCTAGCCTCTAACGTCATGTGTACTGTTGTGATATGTCGGAGATGGTTGGATTAATATTGAGGGTGGGTGCTGAGCAGGTTCCTTCTCCTGATATCACAGTATAAAGAAAAGAGATGATCCTTAGTCAACTTCCGAGAGAGGCTGCCGGGACAAAGCTCTGATGATCAAGTTAGAATTGATTTTGAGAGAAAGTAAGGAATGTCTGAGAGAAAAAGAGTCCAATCTTCTTCTCCCTTAGGAAGAAGAGTTCTTTTATACCTGATCGAGAGGTGCGTGCCTCGTAACTGATTCTGGTGTACCTTCCCTCATGATACGTGACGTGGTGAATCTGTATTGAAGGATCTTCCTTCACATCTTTCTATCTCATCACTCCATTGGCTAGATTAGAATCTTCGATATAATGATGATCATGGATGTCGTCAGATGGGTAAGTGGAACTCTCTTATTAGATCTACGTTTGTTGGGGTATTTCTTCTAGGGAGAAAAAGGGTAAGGCATGGTTCTTCCCGTTAACCGCCATACCCGTGAATCCGCCTTGGTGGAAACCTGGCCTTGGCCTCAGAATGGATATGAACATATTCCAACTAGGCCAAGCTTGGTGCTAGTTTAACTTTTCCTTTCTTAACGTTTTTCCTGAGGGATACATTAACAAGTTCCTTAGGCTTGTAGGCGTATGCGTTGGCTTGGTAGCGTCGCCATTCGAGCCTATATTACAACATGTGTATGTCTGAGATTATCTCCAACATTCGACGCACTTTAGACAGTGACGTTGATGTGCGTCAGATCCATCACGAGATGATTCGTGATGCTAATTTAGCCTTTAAAATCTCCCCTTTACTCAAGACCTTTCACATTTGCCTCCTTTCCTTGCTTTCGTTGTAGCGACTCAGGCATTTTGTGAAAATTTCTTTTTTATCTTTCATTTGGTCTTGACGATGGACCATTATGGCAGAGTCCTTACCATAGAGGAATTTCAACTACTGCAAGAACGATTTGGTTTCTTACCGGAGCATGGCGTGATGATTCTGGCAAAGGGGTCATCAATCTATGACTGCCCTCAAAGGAAAGTGGGGGTTCTTGTTCCTCTATTCAAAGCGGGGTTATGCCTGCCAACATCTGACTTCTTTGATATGATCATGCATCACTACGACTTTTCCGTTGATAAATTAACCCCAAGTGTTGTTAATAAGATCGTAGGTTTCGAACTAACCTGCCAGTCTCTGGGTTGTATAACTACTTTTCAGGTTTTCAGTTATTTCTTTTGTGCATCTACAAACTCTGCCATCCTCACGATGGTGAAAAGGCGGGGCATTCGTCAGCTGATCTCGTAGCAAGATACTCCGAACAAAAATTGGCAGAGGCAATGGCTCCGGGTCAACTGAAACCTTGTGGTGCACGGGTTTCGTAAAACCCGAGACTTTCCCGACCGTCTACCCAAGTTATTCGGGGATAACCTAGCTCTTGGCAAACGACTGGGAAACATTGCTGTCATCGGGGAGAACTAGCAAGATTTTATCCTTATCGCAGCCAGCATGAGTGCTTCCTGGAGGGCGCGTGGGAAGACAGTAAAATTATTCGCCGTGAGATGTGGTATTCGCTCATCTCCTCCCCCCCCCCCCCATTAAAAAAATAAGAATAAAGTATTTTATTGTCTTGTCAGTTCTCATGCTTAGTGTTTGTGTTTGCATGTGCCGAATCCGAGATTTCTTTGGAGATGATCCTGCGTGGTCACTATCAGGGTAAGCTTCGTCACCGGGAGGTTGACCTTGTGGAGACTCTGCCCCCTCCTGTATCTGAAATACATATGTGGGAGCTCGTTGGATTTCTCTCAACAGAAGGGGAAATGTTGGTCCTAGCAGACCTGCCTCGTCTTCTCAACTAGTTGTTGGGGTCAGGTGCCCAACCCGTTTTCCGACCTATGCTTCTTCCGATATTCCTATGGTGGGTCAAGCACGGAAAGGCACTACTCATATCCATAAAAAGCGAAGTGTGTGCGTGGTGTTGTCGTTAGACGAAGAGACCGAATCTGATGACGTGGGCCTTCATCCTCTTAAGATGTGAAAGACGATTGGTGACCTTCGATATGTCGCTGCTCAAACTTCTGCCCTTATGGTTGATGCCATTGACCGGGTTTTCCGCCTTGGCATGAATGAAGCTTAGTTAAAAACTTTGCGAGATGTTGTTGCTAGCTTAAGGGGGAACTCTTTGATTCAGAGGCATAACGTCAAATGTTGTATGAGCAAAATAGCATTGTGGCCTGTGAGAAGGCTGCTTTGGAAGACCATGTGGCCACCCTGGAAGATCAAGTGGAGCAACATGAAAATCAAGTGAACTCTTTAGCTAGGGAGAAGGGTGCTCTAGTGAGTGAGTTGGTCAGGTTTCAACGTTAACTGGACCGTACCTGGTTTGATGGTGTTGTTGCCCGAGGCAACTTGCAATGGGTATTGGAAAAGGACGTGGTCCGAGTAATGGATAAGGTTATCGAGACTATGGAATTTTCCAGTGGGATCCAAGGCATGCAAAAGGCATGCGAGGACCTTGAACTTGAAAAGGGGAAACAATTAGCCTATCGTCCCACAACTTCTAGTGACTCTGATGCCCCGGATCCTGGCTTTGTCTCGAGAAGAGCCAAAGAGGTGGATATTTCCTTTTCGTCCCTTGCTGAGACGGATTTTGTGGGCCACTTCCATCTGGGGGAGTTGAATTATGACAGCTTCTGCCAGTTCTATCGTAGGCCGGGTCCGGGAAGTTCTTCCTCAGACTCTAGGGACTGATTTTTGTTTTTCCTTTTTTGTTCATTCTATAGCGTATCCACACTCCCTTGTATTGTATGTGCAATGAAAAATATTGGTTGTCAGCGACCAAGAGCTGTGTATTTTGCTTTGTGCTTGGTATATGAATGCTTTTTCTGTATTTAGAATTGACCTGTGATATCTTTAGACTAGAGTAAATAGATATTTCCACTATAATTCTTTTCTACATACTCTGTTGTTCTAGGGTTCACGTTAATTGGTTAGTTTGCGGTTCAGACGTCGTGTAACCGCTAATGTTGGCTTATATGTTTTCGACAATCATTTACTTGTATGTTTAGTTGAGTCTTTTACATTAACTCGTGAAATGTTAGCCTATTTTATCCGTTATACTTTGTGGCTTAGCTACCTGTGTGCTGACCGAGATCGTCACCTCAAGACCTTTTACTGTCTGATTTTCAGGGGAAAGGTTATGAAATTTTTAGGACCCCTTTTTTTATGTCATAAACTAGAGTTTACACATTCTCAGTTCTAAGATGTTATTGGTAGGTTTTAGGTAAAGATTACGATTCGTTGAGACCTATGGTTGCATCCTTGTATAGATTTTGCTCAAGCAGCGTAGGTGATTAGTCATTGTTGCTACTTGGAAAATATACACAACCTCTTTACTTTGTGTTTCTGCACTTGGTTAAACATAATTCTGGAAATCTTTTTCAAAGCAAAAAGTATATTGACTACAAAAGGAAAAACATGAAGACTACATAGATCGTGGTGGATATCACCGCCAAGTTCCAAGAGAGTGCCATGTTTGTTTCATAACATGCTACGGATGAGGAGATGAAGAAGACAAGATATCGGGAGATGCTGAAGGATGAGATCAGGGAGTTTGTGAGATATCTGGGGTGCAAGACCCTGACTGATATGATTGCGATGGCTGAGGAACGGTAAATTGAGTTGCAGCTTCGGAGAAAGCATAAGCCAGAGTAGGTACAGGCAGAAGTGCGCCCAACATAGAAACCCAATACCTATGGTTCGCATAATAGGGGCTAGGAGTGTTGGAGCCACTACGGCAAGTGCGACAAGTCGCATGGTGGGTCATATCGATCAACGAGTTCAGGCTCTTACAGATGTGTACAGACCGGTCATATGAATAAGATTGCCCCGAAGTGTATTGATTTGTTTTCACTGCAACCAAACAGGTCATAAAAAGGCTAATTGTCCAAGGTTTTCAGGAGGGATAGTGGAGGCGCCTACATCAACCACCTTGAGGATTTGGAATGGCCGTCAGGCCAAGGCGGAGGCATATGTGGTGAAGAATAGAGAATTTTAGTTGAGGATTGAGGACGCAAGAGCAATGTATGATGATGATACACCATTTAAGATAAGTGATAATATAATCCTCTATTCTAGATATCAGGTGGACAAATAGATGGAACAATGTCTTACTTATTGTCCAATAGTTTGTTTCTCGATTTCTGATTTGTTTGACATAGAACTTAATTGAACACATCAACTTAGTTCTGACCGGGCCCGGTACATGGGTCAACACAAAATCATCGAGGGGCCTAGATATTACTTCTAATCCAAGAAGAAACAGATAAACTTCGACTCATATGCTTATTCTACTACTTGTTGAATTATACACAAAGGCACGTTTTATAACATCGAGTTACCAATGCATTTTCTTACAATCAATGTATAACCAACTCATAGGTAACAAGTCATATCTCTAGGTTTGAAGACTTATATGATATTACCATTTCACGATCACTCGAGATAAATTCCATGAAGTGATACCAGTAAGCGTGGGTTGAATCCAATACTCAGAACTTATGAGCACTCATGAGTTTTGTAGCACCACTTTGTTATGTCCAACATCTTAGACCTCTACAAGCCAACTTCATGACAGTCTTCATTCATATCTACTTCCAACATATGACCGACTGTGGAGAATTTGAATAATATGATATACCATAACATAATTATTCTGGAAGTCAATACATGAAAAATGAAATGATAGTAAACGATTGACAGAAGATAGCAACACTTTACTTATAAATAAACAACAACTTTTATTTATCATCAAATGTCAATTACACTTTACAAATTTCAAAAGCTATCTAATTTCTAAAACTAATATCATCTTTAAGCCCTGTGCGCCTCGCATGCTGAAGATGATTAACCCTATCCTCTACCTTCGTGAGGGGATCTGCTGGGTTCTCATTCGATGATACCCTCTTTGCCACAAGGAGTCCTTCTTCTATTCGATGTCTAATGAAATGGTATTTTCTGTCGATGTGTTTGGATCTTCCGTGATCCCTCAGTTCCTTGGCTAAGGTAACTGCACTTTCACTATCACATAAAATCTCCATAAGCTCCTTTATAGATGGTACTACTTCAAGGTCTTCAATGAAGTTCTTCAGCCATATTGCCTCCTTTGCTGCCTCGCTTGCTGTTGTATACTCTGATTCGTAAGTTGAATCATCCACTGTCTCCTGCTTGGAACTTTTTCAAGTATTTGCTCATTCGTTTAAGGTAAAGACCCAGCCTGAATGAGAGCGGAAATTATCCTTATCAGTTTGGAAGCTAGCATCAGTATACCCTACTACTCTCAAGTCATCACTCCCACCGAGGGTAAGGACCCACCGCAGGTACTTGAGAATGTTCTATACTGTAGTCCAGTGAGCCTTGCTAGGGTTCCCCTTATATTTGCTGACCATGCTCAACGCAAAGGCCACATCAGGACGAGTACAAGTCATAGCATACATGATCAAGCCTACAACGGAAGCATACGGTACTCGACTCATCTCAGCTATCTCAGCCTCTGTACTCGGGCTCTGAGTCTTACTTAATCTGACATTACTCTGGATCGGTAACTCTCCTTTCTTAGAATCTTGCATGCTGAACCTATTCAACACCTTATCTAAGTAGGTACTCTGACTAAGTCCAATTAGTCTCTTACTCCTGTCTGTCAAAATCCTTATCCCTAGGATATAGGCAGCTTCTCCAAGGTCCTTCATAGCTAAACACTTCCCAAGCCAGGACTTTACTTCCTACAGAGTTGGGATGTCATTTCCTATGAGTAGTATGTCATCCACATATGTGACATCCCCAAAAGCACGGCCAGAAAAGACCGGTTTCATTCATGCTTTTAAAATAATTTTCAGAGTAATCCTTTGATTTAAAAGATTTGCGGAAATATTTCCTAAAAAGAAAATATGATAAAGTAATATTTACCAAAGCATTTCATAAAGAAATGTATTTTCATTATATAATCAAAACTCGGGATGTCATGTTCCGATACAGACCAAAAAGCATAAACGACATATTACAAGCCATACAACAGTTATATACATGTACAGGCTTATAAACAAAATAACTTGATGATTCATCCATCTTATGCCCTCGCACCACTACCTGTAATAAAAATAAACTGAGCGGGTCAGGCTTGGGAGCCTGGTGAGCATATAGGTTTTTCAACCCCCAATACATAATTATATTTAATTTCATCAACCAACAATAATCCGATTACCCATTCCTGTTATCCTCACTTTACGTCCCTAAAACAACATCTATTACAAGGGACCTAATCTAGGATTTTCATCGGGACGGACATTACTGCAATGGGTTTCCTCAACAATAGTTGTCCTAAAGGCAACCATGAGGGGGATAAAGTACACCGGTGAGCACATCGTTCACAACACCTACAAGTTATGAGCCTACTAGCGTCCTACAGGACTGTCTAGAAAGAGTCTGTGGTCGTCATCCATACTCCGCTAGAAGACTAGGTCAACAACAACAATATTGAGGCCTCTCATCAGTTTATCACGCATCAACTATCTACCCAAATTCTACCCAACCTTTTGTAGATAACTATATACATATGCATACATATGCAAGTTAAAAACTGATAAGATATTCATTTAATACTCGTTCCAAATATACAGATTCATTCCAAGTAACAGATATTATATATCTATATACACATAGCAAGTATCCACTCGGAGATACTTTATATATATATATATATATATATATATATATATATATATATATGTGTGTGTGTGTGTGTGTGTGTGTGTGTTAGAAGAAAAGGAATATACACTTACTTGATCAGAAGATGATCGGACAACACTACGGCTCTAACAGTAGTATTCTTTGTTAGATTTGGAAGATCTTCACACACCGGGCTTATCGCAGGTAGAGCTTCGGCTCGGAAACTCTTTTCTTCTTGGGATCTTTTGGCTTTGGGACTCGCTTCGGGTCTCGGGATGATATCGAGGATTCATGGGGTTAAAATAGGGCTTAATGAGGGTATCGGGAGTGGGAGAGTAAGGGAGGAGCAACCAAAATCGGCTGACCCTCGATTTCTATTTATAGGGTGAAGCTTCTGCACTCACGTCGTGAGTATCTAATACTCACATCATGGGGCTTGATCGTCACTGCATGCGTCATCACAATTGGGGTCTGACAGAGTCCAGGTGACGTCATTCTGAGTTCACATCGTGAACACAGTGTTCATGTCGTGAGTTCTAACATAGGATCAGATTTCGTGCCCCGAACTTCAGAAATTCATATCTTTCGCATACGAGCTTCGTTTTCAACGTTCTTTATATGCATGCGTAGGTGAGATTATGCTCTACAACTCTCGTTTAGACTCTGTTCGCTAATTTTGACTTTATTTTTAATATATTATTAATATATTATTTTTAGTAGTCCGGGACAGGAAAATTTTGTTAGAAACTGATAACTTCTTCATCCGACGTCCGTTTTCGTCTGTCCTTTTACCGTTGGACTACTATCGACGAGATCTTCGATTATCATTTAGAATGTTTCAGCCAAATATCACTCGATCTCAATTTCGAGATTTGGGCTGCATACTGCTAGGTCGAAACTTCGAAAAATCATAACCTCCTCATATGAAGTCAGATTTAGATGTTCTTTTTATGTACGCTCTCAGTTTAACATATTCTACGACTTTCGTTTAGATCATTAAGGCTAGAAATTTCTCTTTCTTGAATTCG